GAAAGTCAATTTTTAAAGTCTGCAAGCAGAACATAAGGAGAATATATTTCCCACTCATATAATGAGGCTGCACAGAGTCTTTTATCAACTGTTTAAGAATTACCAAAATCCAACCATGAACACTCTGTTATTTGTGCTAGCCATCACTAATTTGGGATAAGCCAAAATGGGATCACTTTTGCTATGTTATTATTTTCTTCTCAGTCACTGTAGGAAACAGTAGTTAGGTCTTTGAATTGATCTTACAGCACTTTTAAGCCTGAGGAAATGTAAGTGGATGATTATTCAGTGATCCAATTTCAAAGATTCAGAGTGCACATAGGAATGCATGTTGTACCTGCCAGCCATTTGTTAATGGACCTGTATCTTCTCATAAGATCACGGTGTAGAAGCCATTGATTTAAGGAGATGCAATATGCGCACATATGCATACTCTAAATCAGTTTTCCCCTCTGAAACTGGAGCACTGCACAGCCTTATTATAATGCTTAATTTGATACAGAACAGACCTGGTTTACACAGAATGCTAATCCAGGATTTCATCAGTTTAACAGTGGATTAGTTGAATTTCAAAACATACTTTTACTTTTTTTTTTCCTTTTGCACTTGAGTTTATAAATCTTGACTTGTTTTAATCATGCTTTTATGTCCAGGGGCAGATCTCTGGCTTATTTCTGGTTTGTCTGGATGTTCTTCCCAAGACAGAACAGCAAAGAAAATACATCTAAAAATAACACTGCTGAAAATCAGCATGGGTTCTCCTGCTTGTCTTCCCCACCAAATTTCTCATCCTTAAGGAAATGGTGAGGATTAGGTTTCCAACAACAAAATTGCACACTTGGGCCCACAAAGCACAGCCATTTTTAATTCCATAAATAGGGAAGTGTTGTTGCTGAGAAAGAGACATATACTCTTTACATAAACACTCAACATCACAGAGACAAAGCATGTTGCACCAAAGATCTTTCTGCACAAATACTGCTCCGAGCCATAGTACTCTACTCTGCCAAAAATCTTATCAATGCTTCCCGCATAAAATTATTTTAAAAAATAATGAATTAGACTCACACTACAAAAACCCTGAGAGTCAAAGTGAGGTAGTGGTTACGGCATCGGGCTAGAAACTGGGAAACAAGAATTCTAGCCCCACCTTAAGCACAAGCATAGGTGAACCAGTGCTTGTCTCTCACCCCTGAGGTGGTGGTTATGGCAAACAACTTCCAAAAAGCCTTGTTGAGAAAACTGCAGGGACCAATCTAGGCAATTGCCAGGAGTCAATAATGGCACAAAGACAATAGCAATAGCACTCAGACTTGTATACCATTTCACAGTGTTTTACAGCCCTTTGTAAGCAATTTNTGTGTGTGTGTGTGTGTGTGTGTGTGTGTGTAACTCGAAAAATTAGAATATCGTGCAAATGTTCATTTATTTCAGTAATGCAACTTAAAAGGTGAAACTAATATATGAGATAGACTCATTACATGCAAAGCAAGATAGTTCAAGCCGTGATTTGTCATAATTGTGATGATTATGAACTTTTGCACGATATTCTAATTTTTCGAGGTTCACCTGTATATTAGTTTGAATTACTTGATTGTATTAATAGACATTTGATTTTTGTAGGATCTACACAAAAAAGTAGTTCATCAGGTCAAGAAATATTATAAATGTTACATATCTATTTCGTCAGAGGAGGACTGCATGTATTGGTATAATTTTCTGGCTTACCATATGGCAGGTGCCAATATGCATGATGTAAGTTGCACTAGCTTTTACTTCTATAAATTTTCTTGTAAAACTTAGCAAAAAAAATTATGGCTTAACTGAAATATGCTTTTGTTTCTATACCTGCGAGATACAAAATATATTTTTCTATACCTGCATCTCTATATGTATTCTCATATGCATTTCTTAAAATAAAATATTTTCTCTTTCGAATCAGTGCAGAATCAAAAGAAGGTTTGAGTATTTCACCAATTTCATGAATTTGAATAGCAACTGTTCAAAATTAAGATAGACTTCCCCTGAGTTACTTATGACATGATTCCAAAGTTCTGATGGTCATGCTAGCCCCATCCACATGAATGCATTTTGGGCACTTGGCAGCCACACACATATACACCCATGTGTAGTATCCCACAGACACATGACCACAGTTTACAAAATTTTCTGCTGGAAACCATCCTTCCAGTTTCCAGCCGAAATCGGCCATTGGGTATAATGTGTTTGCTTAACAGCTGTGATGCTAGCTAAAACTGTGATGTTCACGTAGCAACTGCTACAAAAAAGATCATAAAATTGGGTGTGGTCACCGTAATGAACTGCTTAATGAGCAGCATAACTTACTGTAATTCCAGACTTAATTATGGTCATAGGTGAAAGACAATTTATATAGAATAACAATCTGAAAACTGTGGTTTAAGTTTTGCAACTATATTGTTTACTAATGTAATAAATATAAAGTAATGTTTACTGGTAGTCCTTACCAACTATTTGAATGTAGAACAATGCTGAACAAAGTGAATTACAGCCTATGCCCAAAGTTACGAATGTTTCATCGCTCTCACAGTTACAAGATAAAAATTCAGGTGCTTGGTAGCATGCCTGCTCGTAGAACTGTGAATATGCTCCAACTCTCCCTCCCCCCCCAAACACATCTAGGGTACTCTGCATAGCAGCACTCAACCATAGTCCTGGACCTGGCCTTGGCCGTTGGACAGTCTTAACTGGCTGTCATCACCCCAGGCTACAATGTAAGCACTAGTGCCACTACTGCTATTCAGAAATGTTACTTTGTGCTGTTCTCCAATGCCTATATAGAGGCATTTTATTCCTGCCATTGAGAGATCTGTGTGGCCTCTTCAACACAACTCCCTGTTGCACCAGATCTTCTTTCTCGAAGCCGCCTCAAAGTCAATTCTAGCATGATCTCAATTCAACAACCTCTATGGGGTGATAGATCCTCAGGAATGTTAGGCAATGGTGCACTGTGCAGACAACCTTAAGAAGAGATATGTAGCTATTAGCAGGAGGGGGGGGCTGGCGGCATTCTCAGAGGCACCACAGCTGAAATCAAGACCTGAAGTGGTAGCACTTCTCTGAGATTGCTGAAGGCCACAGGCCTCTACTTCAGGCCTAGGTACAGTGCTTCTGTCAGTGAGTACCACACTGCAGGGCCAGGCTGGGCCAGCTGCTGCTTTCCACTGACTGCAGCAACAAAACCAACTCATGCATGGCTTGAGCAGAGCCTCCCACCTTTAAAGGCACACTTGTACTCCACTTAATAACCTTATGATTGCTTAATAGCCAGAACTATGAGTGCCAGGGTTGCCAAAGTTGAGTAAAGTGTAATGTGGCATCACAACCAAAATTCCAGTCTGAACTGTGGTTGTAAATCAAGGACCATCTTGTATATTATTTAGTTATAAAGTTATTAATCCAATTTCTAAGGCCACACATTAGCCAAATGATTTTAATATGCTATTTCTGGTGAAATATAGATATATGGTAAACTCTTATTAGTCATTTGGTATATATAAATAATGAAATAAATTCAGTTGTATTTCTAAGCCTGCTTGTACGTCGTGAAGGAATGTTGGGATTATACAGTCATTCTTTTCCCTAAAAATATTAAGTTACCTAACAGTTTAACATTTTGTTGAATATAATATCTTTTCTCTACATTTTTCTTACAGGAGCTATGTGATCTCATGTTCTCATTAGATTGGATTAAAATAAAAACAGAACGAGTAGGGCCTGCTCATTTGATTCATGAATATGTTGAATACAGTAAAATACTGGATCAGAAGGTATAATATGATATGTAAAATAATTTGTAATAATTGTTTGTTCTACTTTAATCAGTTACCAATTAAATTCAACAGAACTTTTATAGTTAAAATTATTTTACGTTTTATTGAATAAAATTTGTCACTTGATTCATGACCACAAAACTCCCAAGGATGTAAATTATTAGTATAGTACTTTGTGTAGAAATGGTATAGATGAGTCTTTGAATATTTTTTGTAAAGAAAATAAAAATGTGTCTCTTTCTAGTGCATTTGTAATTATACATCAACAGAAAAAAACATCACTGTTAGGAAAGGAATGAAAGGGTAAATGCTTTGATGCAATCATTAAAAGGTTCCATCTAATTCAGTTTTCCTTGCTATATCAGAACATTATCCATTACCATTTTATTTCTTATTCACAGCATCCTAATACACGTGAAAACTTCCAGGAATTTTTGTCCTTGAATGGGCATCTCCTTGGACATCTTCAATTTGTAGATATTGTACAGCTGGGTCTGTGTCAGCCAGAAAATTCAGAAGTGTATCGACAAGCAAAATTGCGAGCTCAGCAAGAACTTAGTAAAGGATCTCTTTATGTGGAATGGATGTAAACACATATCTTTTTTCATGTCTCTTTCCAAGTTTGTTAAACATATATTGAAATATTTGATCCCAAGTCAATAGCGGACTTTGTAGCCCTGCATTTAAAAGTTATATTCTGTATTTTAATACAAAATAAGTCTATTCAGGCTTTATAAAATCAGGCTGCTAAAACTCTTGTTTTGTTTCTCAGAATATTTCAATACCAACTTTTTAATGTAGGACACTGAATTTCTGGTTGAGGAAAAAATAGAAAATGCTTGCTTTTAGCACAGATCATTTACAATGAATACTGACTCATTTGAATATTGTCTAGGAGAATATTTTAAGCAGTTCTTCAGAAATGTAGATTTAGCCCAATTGAGCTAAATGCAAGACATGGAATAATGGAATTAAATTCGAGGAAATTAGATTCCAATTCATGTTTCAAAAGGGTAATTTGAAAGTGGAACCTGTTACCTAAAGAAATGGTGGGATGGATTCCTGCGCTAAGGAATGCCAGCATCCTCAGGATCGCGTGCAGAGGTGAACTCTTTCCTTGCTTTCGCCTGGACTGAGATTTCCATGCACAGGCTGGTTCAGGGGGACTTCTTCATGTTAACCTTTCTTCTTCTGGGCCCTTCTAGCCTCTGCCTTTGTATATGTATATATATATTAGATTGCAACCATAGCCTCTGTAGCTTCTTTAGGTTGCTTTTTTTTAAGAGTAGCAAATCTGCTATAACAAAATAGTATGAATGTTGAGAGAAAATGTGCCCACTTTTAACTTATTGCATTGTATTTGAGAAATT